TTTCGTAACTATCTAGCTACATCACAAAACCCGAGTTCACGTAACTTCAGAGGTTTCTTTTTACAGGTACGGAATCCTATTCAGGAGAATTCACAAGTACAGTGTGTCCCTTATGCTAGAACTCTAACTTTGCCAGAGGAAGGAAGATCGTCACAGAATTTTAATTCCCCAGATCCGAGCAGGTGTAGAAGCAGCAAAAGAATGATCTCCAGCAAAGTGAGATTGGGAGCTGATGTTTGTTGCTTCTTTCAGAACTTGCCTGAGCCCAAATCTAACCAGAACATGCATAGGATGGATTTGTGGTGAGTATGAAGAGGATGCCATGACTGTGTATATCCCAGCACAGGGGTAGCAAAAGTGTCTGGGTGATTGCTAGGTGCCATGCTGGTGTCAAGCAGTATTCCTCAGCTGAGACCTGGATCCTCAGCCAGGGAGTTTAAAGCTCCTGTCAGATTTGTATAGGGTGACTGGCAAAGGTCAGTTAAGCCCATCAACTCCTTCCACCTTGAGAGAAGCTCAGTACTTCGTGGGCTGCACTAAAATATTTAAGCAGCAGCGCAATACCGGGCGGAGAGACACCACAGAGACCATTCTTGAAAGGGAGTGTGTTTGTCCCTTTTTCAAGGAGAATGTGTGTTTTTTGAAGGAAAACGTGAGAAACTATTGCCTTCCCAAGCGAGACAAGATTTGTAATTGACAAATGTCTTACGTTTTATTTAGTTATACATGACCCAGTGTCCAGATCCAGATAACAGCTACCTGAAGCCCATTAGACGTCACATATAGCCTTGGCATGGTCAGCACCTCTAATGATTGATACCCAGCTTGAGAACCTGACAGGAAACGCAGAGCATCAGAAAGAAGAGGCTTATATATCATACAGATATGCTGGACTGCGAAATGTGACACATTCAGATGAAATGAAGGCAATTCATTATCTGCCGTGACCACTGCTAGTCAATATGAGTTGTGCCTGCCTTTTGTGCAAAGTGAGTTTTTGTCCACAGAGATTCTGTGCTTATCTTGTTCTATATTAGCTTGAGTGTGCATGTCTGAATGCCCCTAGGTGCCATGTGTGTCTAAAAATGCCTGGGTGTGCCTGTCTTTCCTCCTCCGCATTGAGATTTCCTTAGCACATTCCAAGGTATATGTTTGCATTGCTCAATTGTTATTATTATGCAGGGTCATATGTTTCATAGGGTTATTTTGAGATCTGTGACTCATTAAACCATAACCTCCTGCTTACAGCTTGCCTGAAAAAAATTGTGTTTCAAGGGTCCTATTGACAATGGGAAGGTGTGTTTTGCAGTGAAACTGTTAGTATTGAGAAAGATACTGAACAAACATTTGTGAGATTTTAAGACCTTCCTCTAGGTCTGAGAGTTTGTCTCTGCCCAATTGGGCATTTAATATACAGGCAGATATATTAACATACGGCACAGATTCCTCAGATTTCAGGACAATGCTAAAGAATCTGGAAAGTCTATTGAGGAGAGCTAAGGAGTCAGGGTACCTGGGCTTTGTTGATGCATTTTTCTAGCTTATTGTGAATTTGCTGTACCACAGACAGTATTGGGTGAGATTTTTACCCACTCTAACTTTAAGGGCTCGGGCTTATGCAAGTTCAAAAATAGAAATCATTTTTGAATATAGTAAATGCCCTAAGGCATCAATACAGCTCTCCTTGTGCTTGTCTTTAATGTGACTGCTGGTTGTGCAAGAAATGTGTGATTGAGTCCATTACAAATAGTTACAGATGCAAAGCAGAAGATGCATCTCTTTCCAAATGGGCCCAAAATAGGTTGTAATGAAAATGGTGTAAAGCTCTTGTGAATGGGAGAAGAGATCCCTAACTGCTCTCATTCAGCTGGAATGAGCATTCCCAAGCTGCAGGAGCTTCCAGCATACACAGCTGCTGCTGCTACAGTCTGTCACCAGCTTAGTCAATCATCCATTATTTATTTCCAAATCATATGTAAAGCTCTACGCCTCAGCCTTTTGTCCATGTACAAGGAAGAGAAGAGACAGAGCTTCCGAAAGACCTGGGAAAACAAAAGCAAAGAGCATCTGAAATCCTTTGCTTGGGAGTTTCTCATTTATAGTTATATCCAAAGAAGGGAAAAAGGGGAACAAAAACATATGCAAGAAGAAGTGACTACCTTGATACATATTCTTGTGATCTCTTCAATTGTTGCAGTCAATAATTTCTTTAGCATGAGAGCTCCTTTATTTACATGTGCTCATGAGATACAACATGCTTCACTTAAAGTATATTGTGTATGGATTGTGCGATTGACCAGCTGGTCCTGTTGGGTTATTCAGTGGTTACTAAATGCTTAGTTGGGAATGGTTAGTGAGGGGTACAGTGAATTTCCCAGGAATAGCATACAATCAGGAAAGAATGTGAACACAAATGTTTGCAGGCAAATAACAGTGTTTCTGTGACAAGCATTCCTTACATGTGTATGAGCAACATCTTTTTCACAGAAATGTTTGCTGATAAAGAATTTTAAGAGGTAGATGGTTAAACAGAACAGCTGTTCAAAATTCAAATGAGTGTTCTGTTTATAACATATTGGATTATTTTTTATTTATAAAGATAATGTTGAAGCTAATTATAAACCTTAGCTATGGAGGCTAAAAGAGACAGGACAGGTGAAATCGAAACTCTTTATTGCTATTCTCAGTGTTTTCATTTTGTATGTTAATTAAAAATGGATATTCTGATTTGCAGAACACTGCAGTTGCCTTGGAGAGAAAGGGAATGCTGCTGAAACATAAAGTTTGTTAAACACTTTTGCTAGCTTCAAAATCAATTGCTGACGGCCCATCTGCAGGCTGTATAGTAGTTATAATTTGTCAGGCAAGCCTGGTGTTCCAGATGATAGGCTCTTGCATTTTCTCACACTGGCCTGAAAACAGCAAAGATGATTCCTCTCTTGAAAAGACTAAGTTGGAATAAAAGAAAAAGAAGAAAAAAAAAAGGGGGAGGGGGGGGAAGAATTCTTATCAGACAGATATTAAGAATTGCAAAATAGGCACTTGGTATCTTTCACTGCTAATTTTTCCTTTACCTTTTCTACCAGAATCCCAATCTGTCCTAATTCTGATGGCCAGACAAAAGAATATGATGTGAAGATTTTGAGCAAGCAGTGACCTAGATCTGGCTTATGCACAAGGGCACCATTACTGGGGAAAAGAGACTGGACAGAAGCTCTTATCGCAGAGCTGCTGGTGTCTGACATCCTTTCCTGACATGTAATGGTAGAGTGCTCCCTCAGCAAGCTTGCTGATGACACGAAACCGGGAGGAGTAGCTGATACCCCAGAGGGCTGTGCTGCCATCCAGAGGGACCTGGACAGACTGGACAACTGGGCGGTGAAAAACCTCATGCAATTCAACAAGGGCAAGCGCAAGGTCCTGCACCTGGGGAGGAATAACCCCAGACACCAGTACAGGCTAGGGACTGACCTTCTGGAGAGCAGCTCTGCAGAGAAAGACCTGGGTGTCATGGTGGACGACAAGTTGACCATGAGGCAGCAGTGTGCCCTCGTGGCCAAGAAGGCCAATGGGATCCTGGGGTGCGTTAAGAAGAGCCTCTCCAGCAGGTCGAGGGAGGTGATCCTGCCCCTCTACTCAGCCCTGGTGAGGCCGCATCTGGAGTACTGTGTCCAGTTCTGGGCTCCACAGTACAAGAGGAATGTGGAGCTGCTGGAGAGAGTCCAGCACAGGGCTACAAGGATGATCAGGGGCCTGGAACATCAGCCCTATGAGGAGAGGCTGAGGGAGCTGGGCCTGTTCAGCCTGGAGAAGAGAAGGCTGAGAGGGGATCTAATCAGTGTCTATAAGTACCTCAAGGGAGGGAGTGAAAAGGATGGTGCTGGCCTCTTTTCAGTGGTGGCCACTGACAGAACTAGAGGTAATGGCCACAAACTGAAGCACCAAAAGTTCCACATGAACTTAAGGAAAAATTTCTTAACAGTGAGGGTGACAGAGCGCTGGAACAGGCTGCCCAGAGAGGTTGTGGAGTCTCCTTCTCTGGAGATCTTCAAAACCCGCTTGGATGCAGTTCTGTGCCACATGCTCTAGGTGACCCTGAGTGTGCAGGGGGGTTGGACTGGATGACCTCTAGAGGTCCCTTCCAACCCTAAGCATTCTATGATTCTACGATAGTCAAATACTGGTAAAGGTCACAACCCAAAGAGATGGACCAGATGATGTTTGTAGCTTACGTTTGTACAGATATGAGTAGAAAGTTGCTTGAGTTTGAGTAAAATCAGACAATATATGACCAGAACTGGAGCCTGAATTACTGAACAACATAAAAAGAATCCTAAAATTCACTGACTACTCAGAAATCTTGGGTTGCTGGCGTTCAAAAAGAAATGCTGTCCAGTGACCACCTGCAGCAAAACATACTGGGTTTATGTGTCTGCATTAGGACTGGTGCCTAGTCAGTACATCCTGCTTACACAATTACACACCATCAGGATGAACCAGTCATTCCAACTGTATTCCAGGATATGTGTATAGTTACCTTTTCTTGCCCATTACACATATAGCTAATACCAGAGCTGCTGCATTTAACTCACAGGAATGGCCGTAACTCTCCTTCAGCTGAATTCTTCCATGGTGTTTGGTACAGGCAGAAATTAAACATGTGCATCTAACTACCCCTAAGGTTGAAAAAAAGTCTGTATCTCCATTTTGTGGGTACATCCTATTGCTGTTTATGGGCTGAAAGATGAAGTGTGGGAGCAAATGGGGAAATATGTGCCTCTAATTGCCTGCTTAGTGCGACAGCCAGATAGTGCGAGGCACAGCTATTCAGAACTGATCTTACAGCTGAACTGCAACAGGAAAACTGTGAGTGCTAATTTTACAGAGCAAACCAGACCTGCTAGAAAAGCAGTTGCCTTTTTTAATATTTGTCCCAGCAGTTTCTGAAGGAGTTCAGTTAAGCTCTTTGACAACAAGCAGAGTTTCTGTCATGTTCCTGGTGTGGCAAGTCTTCGAAAACAAAGGCTTATGTGAATTGTTATGCTCACAGCATCTGTCTTTGCTGGCTAATGCTGTGGGACAATCTTCACAAAGGTGAAGATGAGCTAGCAAGCAACTTTGTCATGATTGACTGATAGCAAAACAGTATCCTCTAGGAAGGTTATTAGTGTGCTAAACATTTCTGTGTGAACTGATGTGAAAGGGAAGCACTCCACGTTTTTTCCACAGCCTGTTCTCGGAAGTCAGTGCAAGATGTAGATGATCAGACGCAAAGCCTCCAAGGAAGCACAGGCTATTTCAGGAAGTGTGGTTGATGATGCAGTAAATGGTATTCTCCCAAAAGTGATTACTTAGCCAGACTATCAGCAGGATGTAGGCCCTGCAGTTCAGTTACAAAAGCTGTCTTTGGAAAAGAAGTGCCATTAATGCTGTTTATCGTTCTGACCTTTAACACTTCTGCAATAATTTATCGTTCTGACCTTTAACACTTCTGTGCTGTAACTGAGTTTGAGTTTTAAGCCATAAGGCCTTGGCAAATTTCAGTGTAAATGCATTTGCCTTTGCTTTTCCAGTGGCATGTAGTTATTCCATTTCTCTCTCCAAGCTAACATGCTGAGGGTGCTGCAGTGCAAAACTAAACAGATGGCATACGTCATCCTGGAGACAGATCCATTTCTGAGCAAGGGGATTCCTGCACCTATAGAAGTGCTCGAGTGAAACCACTTGAGTGACAGCTCAGTATACTTTATATCTAGGTGCTCTGCTCATAAAAAGCATAAAGAGGGAAAGTCTCTGAAAGACAAATGCTATTTGCTTTATCACCAACATTCATCATCCTGTAGCATGAGGTTTTTCCTGAGGACATCCAATCCCAGATTTGCCAGACACAAATTTGTGAGGTCTGGTGAGCACAAAGCCCCAGACAGTATAGTCACAGGCTCACCATCTGTGCGTGATCCTCGTAGCATCAGCCCTGCAGCTCACACGTGAGAGTCTCTGCTTTGTTCTTTGGTTGCAAAAGCGCTTCTATTCCCCATGCAGGCAGCTTTCCAGGCCAGGCCTCATCTCGCAGTACACTGCCGCAATGGATATTGTCCAGTACAACCTGGTGTGAGTATAATTTTGTGTATACCAGGAGCTTAAGTGAACCTTAAGTGGGGGAACAACATTGCTTCATCCTGCAAAGAGGAGACAAGTTCTAACTGGCTCCCTGGGCCTTGATCTGTGAAAGCCTTTCAGATTTGTTTAGAGGGGCCATGTGGTAGAGACAGTGCAGATGTAAGATGCACAATGCGGACATGTGGAAATTACCACTAATCAAGGGTCACTGAGATTTCACTGCAGAAAATTAGATTTAATTTAGTGATTTCTGCAACACATTGAACTTACATTGTTTGAAAAAGCATTTCTTTTTCTCTAAGCTATTGGGCACAGCTAATATTAGCAGGATTGCCTTAAGGAGAATCTGAAGAGCAGCCATTATGGCCTTACTTGTCTGAGCACAGCTGCCACGGCAATTCCTGAGCAGGAAGGTCCTGCCAGAAAAAAAAAAAAGAAAAAAAAAAAAAGTTTCCCACTGATGAAAAGATTTTGGCTGCTCTCTTAGCATTTGCCTATTCTCTAGTGTTTGGAGATTTTTCCCTTTTGCTGCCTTCAAGCTATTCTCTATCTCTGTCATTTCCTCATCTATCCTGTGCTTCCCAGGCTTCTTGATTTTCTTCTGACCCAGCTCAAGATTCCCCAGTCCCATCAATTACTGATTTTTTTGCCCAAACTCTTACTGACCTTCACTAGCTCTTCTCCTTTCAGTCCTTGTCAGTGGCCGCCTGATCATCACTTCTGCCTTTGGCGTAACACTGAAATCACAGAATCATAGAATGATAGAATGCTTCAGGTTGGAAAGGACCTCTAGAGGTCATCTAGTCTCTCATGAATAGCATGATAGAAATGGCCTTGATCAATTCAAAAATGCAAGTCATGTATATGCATAAATACATACACACACACAAAGCAATGAGAGTTCTTAGTTGAATCAGCAGAGATGGAAATAGAATTCAAAGACTTTGGCTCTTAAACAGTAGCCGTTACAAAGTATCATTTTCAGCTTTACTCCCATGCAGCTGTTAGGGAGCGTGCGAAGTTTATCTAAAATATGGGACAAACTGTAACGTGGTCAGTTTTACTCTGCAGAAAGTGCCTTGTAGAAGTTGTACCTCTCAGAATAGAAAGTGAAATGACACAAAGTTTGAAATACTCTATTATTGTTTGGACAATCTAAAATACATTTGAGCAGAATACACCAGATAGACAAGGTATTGCAAAGCAGTGTTTCCAAATTCCTGGAAAAACAAGCCCATGGTAAGCTATATTCATGATTCCTCTTTCCCCATCCTCTGCTTGCCCTGAGGATTGGAGTGTGAAAATTGTGTAAAAATATAGCTGAGGCTGTAAGAGAACTACGGGAAGTTGCTATTACAAGCATCTCAAGTGGGAAATTCTTTTGTCTTGGACTGCAGGTGGGAGCTTCCTGTCTTTGTATATCAATAGTGTATTTCCTGCTTCATAATGTCATATTTAAGAGCATTAAAATATGCAACATCTAGTGAAAACATAGATTTAGTCCTACATATGTTGGATTTGGAGGCTTGAAATAATTTTTATTCTGTTTCAGTGATTTTTCTTAATACTGCATATTAACAAGGTAGATAAATAATTAAATATTGGCTAGGGGAAGGAGAAAACATCCTTCCATCAGGGATTTGAAAAGCAGAGAATCAGCAATCTTGAGAGCATCAGTTGAGTGCTTCAGAGAAAGATCTGAACAGAGCTGAGAGCTCTGAAATCAGAGGTAGTGAGAATACGCGAGAGAACAAAGGTGGAGTGGAATGGAGAAAAGACAGCACAAAAAGATGTCTTGCATGAGGAAGAAAGTAGGAAATGCTGCAATAAAAACAGTCACTTTGAACGTCAATGAGGAAACCGTGGATGTGTTTGAAGGTGGAGCTGGTGCAATTTCTCTGAAGGTGAGCTGGTGGCTGGAACACTTGTGGACGCCATGACTTGTCGAGCAGGGACAAAGAGAGGCCATAGAAATTCAGGTGAGAAGAAACAAAGCTGAACATGAAAGGCAGTGAAATCCATGCTGAGGCATAAACAGGCAAAATGTGCAAACCCACTGTATCTACCATCAGCCTACAAGGATTTGGTATTCATGTGAGCCTTTTCTGGAGAAGCCAGTTTAATCCTGTGTTAACAAACACAAATGGCCAGCCTTGTTTTAGCATTGCCATCATCGGAACAGTGAGCAGAATTTTCCTCAACTCAAAATCATTCATTTCTACAGACAGTTCTGCGGAATTGTCACCTTTGTTACATTCATTGATTGTTTTTCATACTGGAAACAAATGCAGCCAGGGACATATTGTAATCCAGACTCCAAATGCATGGATCTCTGCAACTAATCCAAGTAGATACTATCTCCAAATAAATAACTGAACTCATGGGGATGGGCACAGTGGAGAAAGCATTTGTCCTGCCTTTTGCCTTTGTTCTGTAGAACAGGAGAAACTTTATAATAGCAGCCCTCTAGTTCTGCCATGTCTGATCCTGAACACAGGTAGAGAATGGAAATGTGTAGAGCCAGACTGTTTGTTAACATGGCTTCATCTGCTCCAGCTAAAGTCAGTGAGATGTTTTTTCTACAAAAGATGGACTTGCAGAATTCTTATTGCACAAATTCAGAGGTCTGTGAATATATCCATGCAGTATGTGGGCATGTGGGATAGATTTTCTGGGAGCTACCTGTGAATCTGCAGTAAATAACAGACTTTACAGCCTTCTAGGATTTTCTCATGCCAGGATAAGGTGCAATGTGTGAAGAATTCATCTGAAACCAGACAGTAAGGCAGGAACAGGCTTGGCATTAAAATATATTATTTTATTTGCCTTCTTGTAATTTACATTAACCAAATCTGCATTAATTGAATAGAAAGAAAATGGATACTTTTTGTAGAAGAAAATATCTATTTTAATAGATTTTAATATGCATTTCTCAAATAATTTGTATGACATCCTTCAAATTTGTAAAACACAGTCATAGTGTCTTAGGGCTGTTTTGACAGTTGTCAAATCTTGGGAATGAAATAGCAAAAGATGTCACTCAAAGAAAACCAAAGAATAGGCAAGGTGTGATTTCGATTGCTTGTTTTTAACACTTGGTAGCTTGACAGCCTTACTACTTTGTTTACAAATGGCAGTAAACCGTGGTTGAATATTGATGTTCTACATTTCATATTCTTGGGTTTAATAGAGAACACATAATACTATGATCATGTAATCTGCTTTTTATAACACATATAATCCTAGCTAGTGATCTGTTATTACAGCTCGTTGTTTCCATTTGAGCTGTTACATGTATCTAAGGATTCCGGTTTAAATACTACAAGGAATGGAGAATCTTAAAGGCTTTTTGATGGCTTATTCCAGTTGCTGATTGCCCTCATTATTTATTGATTTATGTATTTATTTGTCTATCCAGTTTGTCTTACTTAAGTTTCTAATCAATGTTGGGTTTTTTTGTTGCATTTTTGTTTGTTTGTTTGCTTACTGCTAGATTGCATGGATAACTGCTGTAGCCACAAAATCTTTTTTCTTAGCAGCTATTTGTTGACTTCATCAAGGTTTACTTCTGGTTTCTTTGGGGTAAACTAAGTAGACTAAGTTAATCTCTTGCTAAAAAGGGATGTTTTCTAATCTGCTAATCAATCCCATAATTGTTTGCTGAACTCTTTTCAAAAATTCCTTTTAAGTATAAACACCAGAACTGGAATCACTTTTCAGCTGTCATCTCATTATTCTCCAATCCTGCATAATAATGCTGGTTTGTGGACCAGTATTACACTCATGTTCTTAAACATAACTGACTTACTCCTTGTTTATTCTAAAATTTTCAGTACATCTTAAGTTTGTCAGGGAAATATGTATTTCCTTTCCAATGACTGGCAGAGATAGTGAATTTCACTGATCCAAGGACAGGTCAGTTTTATTGGCCCTACAACTCCTATAAATAATTTTTAGTGTAAGCTATGTAGTTCTGTTTTTATTTATAGGGTTCTTTTAATAGTTGTTTTAATTTTGATGCTTACTGATGAGGCAGAAATTATTTCTTCAGCGCATGAACTTAACAGTTTGAATATATCTGATTCTTCTTCCTTCCACATGAAGAAGAGAAATACTTTTGTGCTTCTTGATACTTTGGATAGTAATGAAGTCAGAAAGAAGGAATATCAGTCTGGAAAAATCTCTCACAGTGCTGTTGCTTCCTGTATGGAGTCCCACAATTATTCAAGTCATATTGCTAAGCTGAGAAAGAGGAGTACTGGAAAAGGTAGAGGTGTTAGAATAATAAGCTGTGCTTGACCTTATTAGCAAGATCACTCATAGTGTACTTTAAGGCCATAGCGTTGGTGGGAATTGGGCCAGCCTCCTGGGAATAATGGGATAGAGCACAATTGCTGCCTTGTTGTTTGTTTGCTAATCTGTTTAATATTTTGTTTATTTTATTGATCACTCTTTTCTTCTCTGCTTTTAAGGCTTTTTCCTATTGTAGCTCATATATCTTACTTTACGAAATGTGACGGGTTCTGCGTAAGCCACAGAGTTTTCTGAAATTATTCTTAGGTGGTGTCTTCTGTGCACAGGGAGCCATGAGAACAGGAGACACTGTAACAAATCTGCCACTTGATAACACAAAATCCATTGCCAACGAATGGATGAACACACATTCATGAGGGGCATGGAGCATTTGGGATTGCCGGTTTCAGAGACTGACCCATGTTGCATGGCAGGGTATTAGCCTTTGAAAATGGGATCTAGGTCAGGTGGCAGGGTCCAAGATTAAAGTCCAGTTTCTTCCCAATGCTTTTGTGTATCTCAACCAAATTTCTTCTCTGCCTCTTTCCCAAGCCCTCTAAACAGACCCAACCCTCATTTATTTCAAATCGTGAATCTCTGTACTGTGAGTTTAATTTAACCTACTTTTTTCCTTTCAAAGTCTTGCTGTAAAATAACCTTGGCTGGCCCATTCTGGGCTGATGGTGGAGAGAATATCCCCAAATGGAGATTTCACTTGTGCAGAAGGCACTGGAAAGTATCCTCTTGCCAAGCTAGATTATTTCCAGCATTGTACAGGAGAGCAGGGCAACAACTATGGCTGCTTTGGAATGACGGCGAATCCAAGATTATCTGTATCTGATAAACAAAAACCATAGAATGAATACTCCTCAGAACGGGATTCTGCTGCAAACTGCAATCCAGAATTATTTTAGCAGACTCTTTATGCCTCTATATAGTCCCAAAAGCCCATGCTGAGCATTCAGTAGCAGTTTCCTATCCATATTGAGCATCTTACAGCAGCTTAGAGGCCATGAGGCAGTCGGATGAAGCCTACAGTGATCCCTCTGCAGCAGCTCCTGGATGGAAAGGAAGAGAAACCCATACTCTTCTCAGTCTCATTTATAGAGACCAGCTATATCTGCTCCCTGAAAATACCTTGTATAGACTAAGCAGCCAAAAGCCTCATGTAGCTGGCAAGCTGACTGTAAAAGCCCCTTAAGCTCCTGTACTATCATGACACCTGTGTATGAAACTGGGACTTTTCTCAGTCCAAAGCAGTATCCAACTAGCTGGCAAGTAAACCTTGGGTGACGCAGTATTGCCTGAGAGAGGAGGAACATTTTACTAGAGCAGATAGGGTTGTTTCACAGGCCCAGCAAATGCCTGACTTCCTCACGTAAGGTTAGCTCAGTCTTTACCGTTAATTCATTATGCCTCTGGGTCCTGGTGTGAACAGGCTTGCTATGTGCAAATGCTGGATTAAAGTGACCTCTGTCTCTAGAAGCAGAGGCAGGAGGTTGGGAGAAAAGCCTCTTCAACATTTATTTGACTTCACAGAGTAGGGCCACTCTGGATGTGCTGGTGGCCCAAGATGCTGTATACAATTCCACATAAGTGAGTGCAGGCTGGGGAGCTCTTGAGGAGCGATCCAAGGAGAGGCCTGGAGTAACAGCGGTGAGAAAAGGGAATGCTAAAGAGGAACATGAGGGAAGACAACTTTTTATGGGTTTTCTTCCAGTCTTAGAGGCAATATGTGAAGTGTCCTTTGCTTCATCCTTCACTTGTCCTGCTTTCCCAGTTGCACAGCATGCTCTTTGCAAGTGCCTTCCCTTTTGGATCAGTAGAGAAAACCGAGCTTGGGAATCGGAGCTGACTTTGCCTGGGTTTTAGCAAGGAAGTGAAGTCATCTGCTCCACCCACAGCGCCAGCCTTCACTTGTGTTAACAGGAAGATCACTAAAATGATTATAATCCAAGTCAGACACAAAGATCAACCTCTGATCGACATTTTGGTCACTTGTCTGTCTTCAAAACTGTGTGATGTGAAGGCACAGATGGAGAGGGAATACACCAGTTAAGAGAAAAATGTTGGGTTTTATGACTAAATAGTGTGGGGGGGAAAGACGTAAAATTACTGGGAACGAAAGAAGTGTTAGAGTTACCAGGCAACCAACACTAGTAAAGAATAAAATGATAGGAGAGCGGGGAAGAAGCCATCCAATGAAAGAGCTTGAAAAAAGAGTGTTTGAAACAGTGATGAGGTGAGCGCATTAACATTTCAGAGCAGGTGAAGAAATCTGTTTTAGGGAGACAGGTGCTGAAAAAGAAAGAAAATGTATGCAACTAAATGGACACAGCAGACACTATAATTCTTCTCTGAAATAAAATCCTTATTTTTAACCATTGTAAGGATTGAGGTTATTCAAGCAGACAGAGTAGGTTTCATTAAAGGTTTCATTGATGTTTTACCACTGGTGCTACTTGTTTGATTTTGCAGCTCTCTCCTACCTTGAAACAATTAAATTTCCTCCTGGCAACTAGTTGGCCTGCGCACGTTTTGCATCCTTCCCCTAGGCTGCAATAAGTTTGCAATGCTGTGTTTTGTAACACAGTGCTCATTGCCAAATCAA